CGCGGCGATCGCACTGATGACTGCGTAAAAAGACCCCGCTGAATATCTTGATCCTGACGTCTCAACCCTAAATCGGCGTTCTCAGGACAGAACTAAGTAGAGGAGTAGGGCTGAGCACTCTGGGTGATGCTCGAGGATAATTCTGTCCGCTCGACGTCTGAGCTTCCGGCCAGACGACCAATATCCTCCCGAGCATCTCACTCCAGAATCTGAGCTCCAGCTGGGTATGGTTGGCGTGAGGATAAGTTCCATCCCTGCAGGTGGTAATCGGAATTCATATCTTTCTCTCCGGAGATCCTCTCAAGAAACTGCTCCACACGGAATCCGATGAAGGTACTGGAATTTCAGAACCGCTGCTAGTTCATCAGTCTGGGTCTGGGTCGATCCCACACCTTTCAAGGGCCGGCTTCAGGCTCCCCTGGTGTATTTTCATTGGGAATGGAAGAGGGACTCCTCATCTGATTCCGTGTGCTATATTCTGCGCCACCAGCAATAGACAAAATCCCGAACAACCAAGTATTTCGGGGAAATGCCTCAGACCCAGATAACATGAACAGAAACCAATGGGGAAATTCACAGAGCGTGGCGCATATCGGACTCCATAGACAGACTGAGAATTCTCCGCTGTCTTCAAGCCCCGGTCAGCTATTAGAGATCATCGGTAGGAGCGACAGAATTGGATGAGGATTACTCCTGTTCGACCGACGCCCTCGGAGCGGTCGCGGAGCGTCGATCTTATCACTGAAGACTTTTCCGGTTCGACTCGCCCCCTACGTCGACGTGCATATTCCTCTTGCATCGATCATCCGTCTGCGACAGCGACCATCGAAGCCGCTTAAGGCACGTGATACTGGTTCGGTGTTTGTTCGCCCTCATAAGAGTTCTAGGCATAGAGTCCGGCTTCAAAGTTATGCTCATCGTCCCTCTACTCTTTGTTCTCCTCGCGTTTTTCCTCCCGTTGTCATCACAGACTGGTGTCAGCTCTTTTTTCGGTGCGTTGTGAGAGCGGCAAAAGGAGAAGGAAGAATATTATCTTTATTTTTGCGACAAGGATTACTCCACACGGCTGCTGCCGACGCCACGGTCCGAGGTGCTGGTTTTGTGGGTGATGGTGGCTATCCGCGGTCATGGCAGCACAAGCAGGCGACAGCGGTCTCTATCCGGTCCGGCTTTATAAAAATCATCTCCCTCCCAGAGTCACACGAGACCCCGGAAGCCACTACGCTGATCTTCTTGACAGCTCTTGGAGGGTTCCAGCGTCCAGTCGGATCGCGGCGCAGTCCGCGTCGGGACCGGCCTTGGACCCAAGGACGGATCTAACGCGGGCCATCTATTCACTCCTATCAAGACGGAGACCGAGAGAGCGACATTTGGACGAACCCTGGTCGGGCCGTAGGTCCAGTAGATTGAGTTATGCCTAGAGCAGGTTTTCTCGACGCCGGATAGCGTGAACTGCAGGAGTGGAATCTCTCTGTTGGCCAGGTGAATCCGGGCTCACGTAGCGCTGGGGAGCGGGAGCTGGCTCCGTCGATTTCTCGCGGGGATCGCGGGGAACCGAACGACGCCAATGATGAATTTTGGAACCATTCCTCCTTGGCCGACAATCGTACCTCATAGGGTCTTCTCCGCAGATTTTGGGGAACTGGATCAACTGTGATTGAGTTCGCTCCACGTCTTGGCGCTATCTCCTTCGTGAGACTCGGGGACGGCATATCCGCCGCTTGAGGAGGAAAAGTGTGGCCAGCGACTGACGCGAGTGATGGGGGGAAGAACTCTGACGTCGCTCGCTGTTCGCGTGAAAAGCGCAGTTCACGCTCGAAAGACTTTCGGAAACAGAGATCGAGAAGCAAACTGAGACGACCGAGTCCTTCTGAAAGCTTCGCTTCCGAATTTTTCCGAGTTGTCATAATGGAATTCGCAAGAAACGTATGGTAGATGTCGTCCAAGGTCGACGGCGTTCAGACGTCTTCCAGACGTCATTGAATTTTTCGAGTGATCGACGGAATGCGTGCTGTCGCCTCCAATGGAAAGTGTAAATTTTCCTCCTCGCTCCATCGTTGCGCGTCGTCTCGGTGTCGATGCATCAGTTCGAAGGTCGCCGGCACTCTTCAATCTCGAGAATCCTGCAAGCTCCTGATCGCGATGCCGAACGTGTTCGTTTGCAAAATCTCTGGATCCGTGATAGAGAATAAAGGAATTCAGCGAGATAAGGAACATCGCTTCTCTCGGAGTGCTGAATGCAATCGAGTGTTGTATTCTTCACAACTTAACTCGATGTAGCGTGAACACGCGACCGATGACTACGATAGATCTGTGAGTGAAATCAGCTTCCAAGCAGAGAAATATAAACTCTTGCGGAAGAATTGGAATCACGGGGAACTCTGCGGAGGAATCTCCTCAAATCCCGCTCGTTGACGACACAATCCGGCTTGCGTCTCTGAAATGGGCTGTGGCTGTTCTCGAAGTTTCAAGAGTTTGCGCAGTTGACCCCGGCATCAACGGAATAAATCCTATGGGTTTCCTCCCGAAAGAAAAACCCGCCGACAATATCCGGAGAACGTTCTCCCAAATCGAAGTCTTTAGTAAAGCGTTCTTCGAGCTTTTGGCGTCTTGCAATATCAGCGGGAGACGCTGAGTCGTTTCCACGGATCAGCAGCCGCTATGATTTATACCTATAGACGCCTCCTACATACAAACACAAAAGAGATATTTTCTCTCTCTCTTTTGGCTTTTCCTTCCGTCGCAATCGTCGAAGCATCGTCGTAAAAGCGTTCGGCGCCTCCATGGTTCTTTTTTGTTCTTGCATCGGGGACGAAATTTCCAGTCGCCCTCGGCTGCATCAAGGAAAAATGGCACGCCCAGGGTTTTTCCTGTGTGTGTATGTGTCACTTTTTTCTCCCGTGCGATGAAATACCGCGCAATATCGGCACGGAAAAGCCGCTCCTCATCGAGCATGTCCCGGTGGCCACATTTGTATTTCATCGACCCCATCGGGATTTTCGAGGAACCGGAGCTCTACGGGGGTTCACCTCCACCGGTCGCGATTTTACTGCCTCCGCAGGTCGACGTCTCGGTTCTTTTCGAAAAAAGTCACCCCCAGGCTCGGCCTGCATTTCCTGCCGATGGACGATCGCAGGGATAATAATAATACCTCCGGACTCGAAACCATTTCGATCAATCACTGCACCGCGACTCGAAATAATTTCACGGTTTCTGGAATTGGGTTTCTCGAAATCACTGCTAAACAAGTTTGAGCGTCCACGGGTGCTCACCGTCGGGACGGACATCGACTCTGAGAGATTGGTGGAGCGATTTAAAGAATTGGAAATCGGGGAAGCGTTGCATGATAGAATCGAGAGCGTATTGGTTCGATTGAACGAATCTCTGGGAACCTGAAGGGAGCATCGAATCCTCAAGTTTCCGCCGAGTTCGGGAATGGTTTGGCAGTGAGAAACGATGGACTCTCGATAGCGCGAGTTGTTTCAAGGCCGCTCCGGGGGCGGGCCAGGCATCGCGACGGAGAATAAATTCAATCAAACTTCCGCGGAGCAGAAATGCGGCAACGACTGAGATCATCTCCGAGCTCGGGTCTTGTTCATTCAATTCGATCGCATCCCGACGCCCTCGTTCTGAATCGAAAGCTCGTTCCGAACGTGAGGGGGAAAACCGCGCCGTCAAACGATCCCTGTCGCATCCACATCCGAAAACAACAATGGCAAAACGAATGGCTCTCCGAAAACGCATGACCCACTGCAATTTACGAGACACACCCTCACAGCCTTAATCCACAAGGGAACGTTGACTTGCAGCGTTGCCTCGCACGCTCGCTCGTTCCTCTGATCCGACCCGTTTCGTTCATCGCCCGCTCTCAAGGCGCCACTCCTAATCCCGAGCCCGAAGTCGACTCGCCCTCCCCTCCCCACGGGCCCTTGGCAGGAATCCCTCGCGCAGAGTCCTCGTTTCGATTGCCTTCCATTCGGTCTTCGGTAGAGAGCTACAGAACGGTGGTCCGTTCCCTATTTAGTCGCAAGACCGTCCACTGGTGCGCCCCACTTTTCAGAGGGCATCGTGCTTGGTCGGCGACCCACCCCACCTTCGCCCGATAGCGGTTTGGTGGCGGCGGGAGAATAAGGAGAGGCGACTCCGCTGAGACTTTCATCCTGAAGCGTCGCCTTTAACCTGAAAACCTCCATGGATGCTAAGACCAGATTGACTGCGGGTGTGTATGGGAGTCCTTAAGCCCGGGGTCAAATCTCCAGAGGAGGGAAACAGCCTGAGAGCTGTGGGGTCGCATTTTACACCGCTCGGCGATATAATTATTTGCTCCGAAGTCGTCATTTCCCAAGGGGCTCGAAAGAAGGAGCTTGCGACTGTGACACTGCCTGGTGGCTTTGGACGAGAGTAATTCTGCAGACGATTCCTGCGTGGTTTCCCATGCCCATTCCAGGAGGTCTACGGGCCGGAAAGCTGATCGGTTGGGATAATTGGCCTGCCACGGATTCCCGTGAGGAGACATACACGACGGGAGATGGTCGAGCAAGGGCGCAGAGACGATCGCCCGCAACCACCGCTCGAATTTCCTCTATAATGTCGCTAAGTGTCTACCGAGAAGGTCCCATAGATTCAGATTTTCCTCGGGACGTAAGAGCCACCGAAAAGCTTCTAGCGAGAACGTCGTCCTGTACGCCCACAAGCAAACGATCCGAGCCGGCCGGGAGGCGATTCGCGAGAGGCCGAACGTCGCGTCTCGCCGGCCTCTTTTTTCTGCGGCCACCACACCGGTTCCTCGAGGAAGGCCTTTTGGTATTAGCGGGAAGACATTAGTTTTTATGAATATTTATTATTACGCCTGCTCCTCCGCATTAAGTGCAGATGGCGGATAATGAGTTATTAGTACGCTCGTCGCCACAGAGTCTGAGCCTAATAAATCCCCTGACTAGAGGCGGCCGACCACAACGTTTGCGACGGGAACCTCCACCGTATGGCGGTGACAATCCGCCTCTGTTCCGACTCTCGACTTTCCTCTTAGTAGATGATTCTCAACGTCGGCGAAACCTCCCGAAATTTAAACGTTTCCTCCCTTCCCGAACGTTCGATATCTTCTATCGTAGTCCGAATCGGAGTTCACTGCTCCCTTTCCAGTTACGCGGATATCGTTCGGTGCTCCCGTCTCAATGGACAGTGAGCCTGTCGACGGTGACGAAGACTGGAATGATGGTCGTCGGGCTATCCCGGGATCGATCATCATCTCTGCAGACGCCTTCAAATCGTTCGGGCGGAAAATGAGTCGGAACGCACACGTGGGCTTCTCAGAGTCTCGATTTGAGAGGATTCTTCAAACAGGCGCGGATGAGACGCGTTGCCTCGCGTGCCGTACCCCACGATAGATTGACACCCTGACCCCCGTGCCCGTAGTTGTGCACCAGCCAAGAGTCCGAATTGGGAAATTTCACAGCCTCGACCCGCACGGGGGATCTGTACGGTCTCAGACCGACCATGTCCGCGATTTCTTCGTTCGCCTGGAATATTTATGGAGCCTATTCTTCGAATGAAACTTTTTCCTTTTCCCTAGAGACGTCTCCAGAACAAACATTCTGAAACTACTCGACTGAGGCCGACAGCCTCCGACAGAGAGCTTCCAAGCCTTCTTGGTGGCTTTACAGTTTGGAGCAGACGAACCTTGAGCAAAGGGAGAATCTGTTGGCATCCTCTGAGAATATTCTCGCGGTCGCATTTCGACACTCTCAAGTCTGAGTTGGCGAAGTTTCGCGTGCCGCCCAGGGTCACCCAATCCACTCCCGGTAGGATGTAATAATCGTCAGCATAATAAAAATGGGTGACTTCCGGCTTGTTCCGTACCTTCACCACCTGCGCGGAAAATGAATATTCTCTGAGGTCGGGTGAGACGATACTCCGAGTCGGAGAAGTAACGGAACGATCCCTCGACTCGCCGATGGGTGAGCCGACTTATTTTTCCGGGCCCTCCATGACCTTTGACGCATTGCTCACCTGTCCTCGTATAGGGACGACACGGTTGTCCTTGGCCAAGTGTTTCGCACCCAGACCGGAGCAATTTACCACGATATCGAAGCGCTCAGCCAAGTCAGCCAGGTCGTCGACGCGGTATTGAAGGAATCGAACTCCCCGCTGTCTCAACTGATCCTCCAGGTATGGCAAGTACTTCTGCGGATCTGCTACGAACGTCGTGTGGTAGACACCGTACCTGGGGAGGAGCCCGGCTCGACTTCAAAAACACGAAAAGCTTGCCGATCCTGGTCTAGCCGAATTCCCTGTGCGTCCAACTTCGGAATGATCTATATATTTCATTCGGTGGATGTCCCGGAGTTTACTGGCGGATGACTTTTATCGGTCTATGGCTTACTTATATTGCCGCGGAAATTTCTTCAATTCGTCTGCTGTCATACTCCGGATGTCAGGGAAGATACGATCACATACTCTGTTCGACGTGGCTTCCGCACTGAAAGAACTGAGCGAATATCCTGGAACGAGGCACAATTTTTCTCACGCAGGCTCGAAATTTATGAAGTATCGATCCCCTATCGATCCCCGCTGGTAGAATAGCCGTTCGTAATTTTTGGAGCTGCGTGAACAACATCGACCAGCCGTAATCATCTTCCGTATGAAATGTCCCCACCTGGCAATTTTTTCACGCCGGTTATGTGCGGGATGTTCAGTTTTTCTAGATCGCTCCACCGTTCGAAAGTGTCTCGGTACCACCTTTCGGCCGTGTCGAGATCAGGCGCGACGTCTTCATCCGGACGGAAGAGACCGGCAGCGATGTACGAGGTAATCTCGGAGTATACCTTGAAAGTTCCGAACAGCTCCGAATCGAATCAGCCTTCTCGAAAAAGATGTTGACATGCTACGACTGACGCAACTGGGGAATCTCTGCGTGATTCAAAAGTCTGAAGATTCGGTGAACGAGTCCACTGAGGCGTGCCTCATTCCGATCCCGCAGTATGCGCTATGTTTGGAACTTCCACGGATATTCCGATAAAGTAATCAAGAGGACTACCTTTTCGGCGATAATGGTGGTTTGGCTCGCATTCAGAACGCCGTCCTCGATGGCGCACAGTGCCGTGCTCATGCCAGAAATTCCACCACCGACAATTGCAACGCGCACGGCAGACTTGTCCTGAAACAATGACACCTCAAAAAAGCATTCTGCCGCCGCGCCGCTTGCATGCAGGTCTGACCGGAAAAGACTGGCGGATGGCGTCCGTATCCATAGGAATTCAAATTTATGAACTTCGTGTCAAGGGGCAAACACTCGGACTCGGCGGACGCGAAACGGAAAAGAAACCTCCGATGCAAATTGGTTCGAGGCCCTCTCGATAGACTTTTCGAGGAAAATTGAACGATCCTCGGCTATAGGAGACTCACATCCTGCGGGAACATTTCGAAGCCGTTTGCCGAGCAGCTCCAAGACAAATGGTCGAGAACAGCAGGCTAATCTACAGATATCTCGGGAAGAGACGATTACTCGCGCACTGGGAGAGGACCCTGATACGCACAGATCAAAATGTCCGCCTATTGAATTAGATAAGAAACGATGAGCTGAAATATATGTCTGCCTTGAATCGTGCTTCCACGCGTCAGAATTGGGCGAACATTTAACATTAGCTCACAGATTCCTCTTGTGAGGCACTTCCTGTGAGAATGAGGCGGTCCCGGGGAGCTAGTTCCGGTAACGTTATCGGAGTTGTGCCCATCGACGAGAGCGGAACACGCATTCCATGGAGAAAAATAAAATCATACATTTTTATTTCATGAACGTCCCTTCCTGAGTTTTAGAGGAATACGTAGAAATACAAAGATATTTGGCTCAGATCCATGAGGGGAGATTCTTCGCGGGCACCGCTCTCCGATTCCGTCACGCGACGGGAGATCGCTCCGGAACATTACGCTTCAATTTGCGGCGCGTATCGGTGAGGCTTGCAAGCGGAAATCTTTGTTCACCAAGTATTTCATCTGGGCCATGTTCGCAAGAACGTAGTTTTCGAAGGCGCTCTTGACTTCGGGGAGAGATTTGTTCGCATCCAGTTCCTGGAAAGAGATCGTCGTTGCTGATCGTGAATAGGGGATTCCATCGAGAAATATCGCAGCTCCGGAGCGATGTGTCTTCCACATCCAGTAGGGAGCGTCTCCCTCGGCGATTGAAGTAACTCACCACGACCGGAGCAGGGAGTTTGAATCCCGATGTTCCTCGGAGCCAATCATCGTGCAACTCGTGCAGGGCTTGCAGGTACTCTAGAGGAATCCCGGTCTCTTCTTGACGATTCCTCAAGCGCGTTCGACTGAATGCCACTTCTGGGTCTGTCCTCAGGTAAACGATGAGATCCACTCCGACTTTCTGCGTGGATGTGATGAATTCCCACCATTCGTCGCAGATCGCTCGTTCGCATTCGGTCATCATTTTTCTAGGAGAGCGATCCCGAGTAGAACCAGTGCGAGAATCTATGCCGATCGATGCGTGCCTCTGGCCGAACATCCATCGTGCGGAGCGTATTAGACAAGAGAAACTCACGTGTTAATGTAGTTTTGCACGAAACAATAGCGTGCGCTGTACAGAGAACGCTCCATCAATTTGAATGTTGTGGGAACTTCTTTGGTGTGCATTTGTAGTCTGGAAAATGAATACGACGGTGAGCTCGACCACGGAGACGAAGCTCGCGATGCCTGTGGCGAACTTCGCGAACTCGGCTCGAGTTTTCATGGGCTCCCCTCAGGCCCGTAGCCAGCCATATTTCTCCATGAGGTTAAGCCTCATCCGGAAAACTGAGGCTAGCCTCAATTTTCGAGCGAAAACGGCAGTTTTTGTCGTGTTGATGCCACAATTCAATCGCGAGCCCCATTTCTTATATTAGGGGTATCAGATCACATCGTGTGAAATATCTACCAAGGAAAGCTCCGTCTTCTGCCATTTCTAAGGAATCTGTGGTTGACAAACTAGTCGTAGTTGTATCTGACTGCAATTCACGCGCGCGTTCGCCAGAGAGCGAGAGCGTGGAAGTGAGCGAGAGTGACGGTGATATAAACCGTAGATCTAGCAGAGAGCTATTATCGCTCCACATACTGTTTTCGACGGAACCGAATTCCGGAAATTTCTGAGGCTATCCATGAGGCTAATTTTATTTATTTATGAATTCGGGGACTCTGGTTCCCACGGCTCTGGGTATGTGGGAGGGGGACAAATAAACAAGACCGAGAGAGAGGACATTGCAAGGATAAAATGGATGAAGGAGAAGGAAGGAAATCGCCCGAGCTTCCCCGGAAATCGTCAGGAAAGTGACGCTTTCAAATCATTGAGTCAGTCATCTTCGGGACACTTCATTTTCAGCCTTTTATGAAGATTCTGATATCTTATTTTGATGGAAAACTACGCGACGATTAACGCGCACGCTCCGCTCGGGATCTCCCGCTCGGCTTTCCCAATCAGATGTCTCGAGTTCAAACCATGCACAGCCCGGGTAAGGAAAATGCAAAAGCATTGGAAGGGACGGACCTGCCGGCAGCTTGAGCTTGCCATCGCCTTGCATTTTGTGCGGACCAGCTTCCTTGAGATACATCGTGATAATTCACCTTGTAAGCTGTACATAGCTCTGGAAAGCCATGTTCCAACGGAGCGGATCCTTGTAGATGAGGTCAAGGAGGTTGTGTTTTCCTCCGAGATTCGTCCAACGATTCACAGGTTCTGGCATGATCGTGATGTCCGGAAGGGATGAAAATGTGTTGAGGAAAGTAGATTTCCCGGAGCCGATGTTACCCTCAACCACGATCTGGAAATGAACCGGAACTTCGCTGTTACCCTCAACCACGATCTGGAAATGAACCGGAACTTCGCTAGAGATGGAAAGCTATCCCGGATTCTGGATTGTCGTCATTGAATCATGGTTGTCGGTCCCCCTAAGAACATCGGGGAATTGCTGGATGCATGAGGTTTTCGATTCCCCCGAAAATGCGTCTTTGATGCTTGAGGCGCTCCAGTTCCGCTCCAGCCCTCTGCTGCTCCGCGCGGAGAAAATTGGAGTCTCGTGGAGCAAACATCTCATACGTGCCAACCGGATGGCTATTGGGAAGCCTCTCTCACCGTGAAAGTTCGCTGAGAAGCGCCACCGACAATTATCGGATCGATATTTTCCATTGTAGAGACGATATCTGTAAGACGAAGCGATGAGACGTATGCCGGGAGGCTCTCTGACCACACAGCTGACCGTCCATTCACGCCGCGATCCGTTCAGTTTCAGACTTTGAATCGTGACGTCAAACTTAAAAATAGGTTGAATGGATCTCATCGTAGCTCAGCGATGACACGGAGGATCCAACCATGGTTGTTTCTCTTCTACTTAATCAAGGAGCCTGTCTGAAGCGAAGGAGAATCACAGACCTACTCTAAGTCAGTCACTCGGAAAAACAGAATAGGCCGCCGGAAACGAACCGCTGGGTCGAAAGAGATTCTTCGGAGTCGATTCAGCGACACCATTCACAAACAAACAGAATCTCCGCAGCATCGCGCCGTGCCATGTCAGTTTTTTCCAGAGATTCCAAGTGCACTTATGTCGAGCGCGTTCTTTAGTAAACAAACCTTGGTCTGTTATTTCCAAGCTCCGTGTCCTCCTCCTTACGTCGTCCTTTTGGCGCGGAAATCGAACGCGTCGTCTGCTGCCGAGCAGCTGCTCGTTCGGCGGGCTTCACCTCAATGATGGAGACATCCACGGAGCCCGCCGTAGGCTTGACCGCCGAGTATTTCTGGAGAGGGCACACGGATCCCTATCTATAAACGTGTACGGGCGGTGGTAAAGATGATTTTCTCAGATTCGAGAGCAAAGTGTTTTCGAGGAGCAGATTCCGGGGACTTCAGCCGGTGGATGTCTCATGGCTCTCTGGTGTTTCGAAACTGACGTCCCGCGAAATCGACAGTCTCACAGAGAAGACCGAGGATGATACGGAGATCTCGCTCGAAATGTGGTTCTGGCGTCACGGCTGTCGTCGGGAGATCATGCTTTTCTGGCAAACTAATCCATTTTCGAAAACTGTATGAAGCATCCAACCGGAGACCGAAAATGAAGGATAGCTATTTTAGAGTCTTTTACGGAGGTTCGGCCGTGTGGACCGAGGGGGGAATTGATGCGGGATGGAAAGCGAGAAATCGACGTCCGCGCGGCTATTTTATCAAGAGTCTAGAGCTTACATATACTTATTTATTAACTCAAATTAAGCTCTGGGAGAGTTTCTTCGACCTACTCCACCGATTTTTTTCACAGAAGAATCGACTTTTCATACAAGGCAAGACAAGAATCGCCACGGAACTTGAACGGCGAGATCATGATTGCTCTGCGTCTCAGAGCTGAGGGCTCTGACTCGAGGGAAGATCCCCATTCTTCAGCTTGGGAGGACTCCACGATTTTCCGGGAGCGAGGGACTCGGAGCCATTGATATTGAGGAATCCGATTGTCAGCTCAAAGGTGACAAACTTCGAGTCCACTTTCTCCTCTCCATTTCATCCCGGGGGTTTTCATGTACAGACCGAAGCCGATCTTCGAACGGATGTCTCTTCGGAGCGGGATGATCAACCTCATCAAATCGCCGAAATCGAGGTAAGTCAGATTAAAACAATCGACTCGAAAGAATGAATCGATTTCGCTGAATACAACGGCACGGCGTTCGGATTCGGGATCACTCGGGGGGATTCCCGTGCTGTCATATCGAGTCCGGGGGCCTTGCGCGTCATAGCATCACCGCTGACATGGATACGCGAACTTGTCTTGCCATCTCAAAGTACACAATCACAACTTAACATCGATTCGAGATGAGTAAGGACCTCGCAAACACGTTCTCTCATTCCTTATTTTCCCTGCCCGGTCCACCAGCGGATATGTTGAGGATTAACTCCGATGGACTTTCGGGGAGTCCCTCGCCTTAGTTGGGAGTTCCAGGTTCAACGAGCTCTAACCGACTGCCGGGCTTCCGCCAGAGATTCCGGGATTTTTCTACGGGAGAGTCGCAATCAGCCGGCAGTCCGGGGAAAAGCGGTAGCTCAGCTCAGAAAGGCACTTCTACTCAAACTACTACACGGCTCGAGATTGAATTGTATGCCGCCCTTGATACATAGAGCAAGTCTGGCCAACTGAGTTTGAGCAGGAGGGCCGCCAGAAGGACAACCAGCGCCCAGGTGGCATTCTGAGAACTCTCTCGCGGATCATGGAATACCGTATGAACGGTGCGTTGCGTTGCTGTGGTTCGCGAGTCCCAATTCGTATCTTCTTTTTCCCGCGCAGCCGATATTTTCTCACTGCAACACCATCGGGAGGCCGATATGAAGTAATCTGCAAGCGAGATTACTTGCCTCAGCACGATTCTACGGCGAATTTTCCGCTAGATTTTGTGGTCGCGCGTGGAGCACAATTGATTCATCGGTAGTCTGAAGCCGATGCGGGCTTGAATCTGAACCTACCTGAGCTCGAATTGTCTTGGCTCGGAGGTGGCGTAAGGTCCTCAAAAGATTGGCCGAACCGACTGCGTTTGACGATTCCTGGAGAGCTGGGTGCGGCCTTCCCGAAGACGAAGGTCCTCGGGGCATTACTCGAGAGTTGGGTTTGCGTTCGACTGATTTGGGATCGTGGCGAGAGACTCGGCTTCCCGAGGGAAAGAGCTTCTAGGTCTGAGTCAAGTTGGGAAGGCGCTTTCTGCTGAACCCACTTCTGAGTCTGTTTTAGCTTGGAATAGCTCGCGCTGAGGAGCGGACTCAAAACCTTACTCAAATCCTCCACACGACTGAAAGGATACGATGATTTCCTGCGAGAAAGAAAGAGAAATATTCAACGCATTCGAAGTACTCAAACATCGTCTCGATTCAGATATTGCAATGCATGTCCCCTCTAAATTGCGAACTCTATTTTTTCAAATGCCATTCTCCTCAACGAACTCATAAATATTTTGAAACGCATGAGGATACTGCGTCCAAGTTACGCCCTAGCGGAGACTTTCGAAAATACGTGAGGCCGATGCTTGAATTTCGGAGAAAAATCCGATTTTCCAATGGAGAAACGTTCCTGGATTCCGGAGATGATCACAAGGGTGTCTCCCGTTACAGAATCGTGAGGAATCGTCGCGCATCTCGGACACCAGAGAGATGACGCCCGAGGCGGAGTATGTCTGCTGTGGGTCGGACGGTTCAGCGATCATAGATCGAATTTCCTCATCGCCTCTGTATCCACGATTTCGTTCTCGATTGAGTCGATCGTACGGGGTTCCACAGTCGAAAATAATCCGAGAAAGGGGAAATCTTACTTTTTGTTGCCGGTGAGCTTGGTGACAATACTCTGAAGGGCTCCGAACGCTGCCACACAAGCGCAAATGACGCTACAGATATTCAATAGATTGCGATGCTGAATGTCTACGAGCGTACCCGACAGGTCTGTGTATACGGTGGCTGCTCGGAACACGTAAGACAGAAAGGTGAGCCTGAGGATCGGACACGAAATCGAAAATTTGAGATCTGCCACCATACTGAACGGGTCGTGATTTCACATATATCCGCCACTATTGAGTGATGAGTGGAGTTTTCATCCCACCGCACATATCGATTTCGCTTGCAGGCGTCTCGTTTGCTGGAAGGTCACCGATGGCTGGCCAAGGGGCCAGGGTTCATTGGGCTCACGGGAAGAAGTTATGTAGCAGCGGACTATCATGTAACTAGCATGAATGCGAACCCATGAATGAGCCTAAGGCCTAAGTCGTGCAACCAGAATCGATATTCGTCCGGTTGAGAAGAATCACCAGTAAAGTGGTATATCACAGGCCGAAAGAGAAATCTCCTGCTCACTTGTTCTTCGCGGCACCACTCAGCAAAAGGAGGAAAACGAAAATGAGTGGTATCGCTTGGCACCAGCCTGACAGGTAGAACGATCCCGGTGGTCCAAAAGTGCACAACAGGAGCATATAGTCAGAATACAAAAATCTTCCGATTCGGCTATGCCATCGAGATGAAATCCATCGTCGAACGTAGGGATCGAGGTAGGCGTTCTGTGGATGAGAGACCGATTCGGTGAGTAGTCGAATAGCTCAGAAATGGGCTTAGGCTCAGAGCCATCCATCGTGCATACCGAGAGTTCGGAATCTCACCTGATACGAGATACGTGTGTTTACGTGTCTCTCACAAGACGGGCAGAGTGAGAAATTCCTCTCGAGTTGACGGCAATATTGTTCGAACTCTTCTCGTTCCGTTTTCGAATCTGGGAAGATCATGAACGCGGATCGTAGGGCTGGAATCTCAAAGGGGAGAGTTGCTCCAACAACACCAATATCATCGACGAGTTCTCAGACCGCTGTGGGGAAATTCACTCACTCATGGGTTCAAACTGGTTCCGCGCAATCATCTTACGAGCCTGCCTGTTGTTGCAGAACTCACACAGGCCATTGTGATACATGCTGAGTTCAGCACCGGTGTGGCGAGCCTCGGCAGAGAAAACGTTAATCGCGGGATCCCTCTGCGCCGGTATGTCTTTGTTGTAGTCGCCTCCGTCGGAGAATCCATTGTACTGCTCACAGTAACGGCAGTCGAATCGGTTCAGGTTATCCGGAGGCAGAACATTTATCTTGTGGCAGAACCAGCATTTGACTCGTACCGGCAGAAGAGGCCTAGAATAGGAAGCGCGTAATTTACGCATAGATTAGACGTATGCCATCGATTCGCACGAACGGTGCACAAACAGTTGATTAATCTTCAACGAATGATCAGGAAACCGAGGAGACGACACTCCGCATTTCGGCGCAAACGCAAGTGTTTTCCGCAATTAAGGTGATGAGCAAGGCCCAGTTGAGAGGAAAACTGTCTTGCGATGACACGTCCTAGCAGTGAGCAGCCTCCTCCCGGAAACTCGAATCTCACAGCCGGACACAAATTATCGATATCGTTTTGGGAGGGCTCGTCGTTCCGGATTCTGACCGGTTGCCAAGCGCAGTGAAACAAAACGTCAACTTTCAACATGAGCTCTGATCACCGATTCCCGATGACTGCCATAATCCTCAATCGACTGACGTCATGTTCTCTTGCGGAAGACCGACCACTGGAATGATGTAACTACTTCGGAATACTCCTCTGAAGCTCGACACACAGGGGACCTTCGCCTTAGAGAGGGGGACGAAGTGACCATGGACACATAAACGAGTCCAAGAGAGAAAATGTGCTTATTCAGCGCGACCTCTCACCTAATGTATATCTTGTACACAGCTAAGAAACCAATTAAAATAACAGCGGATGCCGCCAACGAGGTTTTCTCAAGAGTCCATTCTGAGAGCACGGATTGAAAGAGTTCCTCCATCGCACCTTCTCCGGCGCGAACTCTCACTGTTCCATTGCTTGTAGCAGCATGCTGCCGGTCCTGCTCCATGCCGCTCGAGCGAAACGAATGAATGGATTGTTGTTGACTCTATCGGTGTGCTGCCGTGCCGACATTCACGGGCGGGCTCTCCGCCCGAAATGTCCCGTCTCACACGGAGAGCACTGAATTCTCGGGGCTTGTCTCTTTGAAACTTAGGTATTCCTCCGGAAGGGGATCCGTACGGATTTGAGCCGTCTGGAGCGAACATCGTACATAGTGTCGACCGAGGAAATTCCAGCCACGATGGCGATAAAATCTATCGAACGATAAAATCTCGATGAGGACTCATGATTGGCTACGATTCAAACATTTTTTTATTCGGGCGGCTTGTGGGAGGAACTGTTCTGTGTCGAGTTCGAGCGAGTGAGGATGATTGTACAGTCCGCACACGATGTCGGAGCTTCGTTCCCACTTCCACTACCACCGACGATAACGTTGACGGGGGCCGGCTTGGCCTGAGCATTGGAGTCGTAAGAGTCAAAAAACGCGATGGTGTCGTGGATATGGGTCATATTGAAAGGAGAGTGCGCGAAGTTCCCGTGTACAAAATCCTTGCTCGCGATGTAGTATTCCCCGACGACATTCGGCAGCGATTCGATGAGTTTTCTTTGGTTCTGTGGATTAGGAGAATTCGAGAAATCGGCGGAACATAGGGGCTGACATCCGTCACGGACTGGGAAGCCCCTTAAGTGATTCGATCAAAGTCGATAAGAGGCGAGGAGCCCCTGGCTCGTGAATCTGGAGAATAGTACGAACCGAAGGTGGAATCAGAGTGTCTCCTTCGGAGTAGTAGACCTTGACCGGAACTCGGATATTCTCCACAGGAAGCGCGGGGGGTCTCCTGGAGCCGTACGTCCCTTCATTTGTTCGAGCGTTCGGGGAAGTCGGCGAAGTTATGATGTCCTCATCGTCGTAATCGAATTCGTACACGTGCTCATCGTTCCGGCATGCATTGTTCTGCATCTGCCATTGGAGAAATACACAGAGCTGGCTGAGCTTGTCGTGAAATTCTGAGGTCCGGCTCCTTGTTCGAAAAACTTAGGAAAGAGCTCTCAGAGAGACATGGTCGCCCACCTGTATGTAGTAGAGGAGATTCTTGATCGAGGATGAGTGCGGATAGTGCTCCAAATAAATCGGGATACGCGTCTGTAACGTGCAAACGATGCTCAAAACTCCGTGATTCTATCTCTATTATCTATTATTGTTCATCGTGCCCTGGACATGTTTCTGGAGCTCGGTGATATCTCGAGCGCTATCACCACTCCTCAAAGCGTCATCCTCGAAGATTAATAGCAAGTAAAACACTGAAAAGAGTGTCCTTGTACGGCGGACGCTGGCTCAGACCTCCGAACTCCCGAGCATCTTTCGACGCACTCCGAGCCCATCACTCATTCTGCATGAACTCACGTGGTTCGACATCGATGCCGGTCCGTAGATTACTTTAGCCAACAGACTCTTGCATGCGCCCCATATGTTATAGCACATCTGTTTCATGAGTTCCCAATTGAATTCCGCCGAAAAGAATTGCACGCTTTTCTGGAAAGACCGAGTTGGATAACCATATTCCCCTGATCGCGCTCCACGCCACAGCTAAGGAGTCTTTTCCCAACTCAATAGATGCCGCCGGATCAAAAACGCGAATAACATACTCACCGCGAAGGATTTCATCGATCTCCACACAGTGTTGAGAGCTGGATCTTTGAAATTGCATCCGAACGTTCTGAAGCCACCCAGGCTGGCGAACGCTGATATACGAGAGTTGTACTCGGGGAGTTTGGAGAGCAACGCGAAACCTGACGCTGCAGCCTGCGGCGATCGATCCCCCGCGATGAGAAATTCAGTAGGCAAAGAATGAACTCCGAATATGTGGCGGAAATTAACCGTTTACCTGGGAATGGCCGAAAAACGACAAGGATTGGGATCCCGTCCTCTCGAGGATGTAGTCGATCTGACTCTTAATGTCGAGTACTCCATGATCGATGAGTGTGTAGTCGAAGAACTGTCGGTCTTTTTCGTCGTGAACTTGTCCATCAGTCGTGCGAATCCCGTAGGGCGTGCCTCTCGTATTGCCAAGCCACACGTCGTAGCCGCTGTCCGCGAAAATGAAGGCTGTGGAGTGCGAGAGCTTATCCGATGATCTAGAGTAGAGGGACCCCTAGGGGAAGATTATCTTCAGGACCGAATGGATTGTTTACCGACTGTATTGTTGGGGAAATCGTCGATATAGAATGACGACGAACAAAACAGGGGTGCGGCGAGGAAAACCACTTTCTTGTTTGGCTCGCTGGAGGGCCCACTGTTCCGAGCATAGGGTATCCGATGCAGCTGGATGACAACTCTGGAAGGTAGCCGAAGGGTTCGAGTTCTGGAGGATTTTTTACTCCTCTGGAAATCGGTGCACAAAATGGTAGGTGAATGAATGAGGACTCACTGATCGCTTGTGACTACGCTGTGCTCTTCGAGTTCGTAACCCTTACTTTCGACCAAACCTCGCTAGAATAATTCAGGATAGAATTTTTTCCGCTCAGCATAGAGTTAGCATCCAAATGCCCCTCAAGTCTTTGGCGCCCTTCCATCTATGATATGAATAACATTAAAAGTTCGGGAGCCCAAATTTCATGTACCATCGTCCTGCCTGTATCCGGATCGTCAACCTGTCTCTCGATATTCGGTTCAGCTTCATCTTGAGCAGATATAACATGCAGGAATCCTGATAAAAGGACAAGAGCGGCTTGGGTCGTCTGTGAGAGAAAAAAAAAACGATGAGAGGCCACAGGAGCGCGATAGGCCTCTTCCGAGACGCCTGAATGGATCGAGAACCGAAATGCAAGCATCGTGGTGGACGTACTTACCCACATCGGGAGAGGAAGAGGATTCACTGGGATTCGAATCTTGTATGACAAGCGAATTCGATTAGGAGTGTCTTGAGCTGATCCCCGACGCGGTATCGGATCTTGCACGGTACACAGGGAGGCTGAATCGGAATTCTCCTTAATTTCATGTATCGAAGGTCGAATGACGGGAATTTCGCGTAACCGCTGGCACAATTCTCAGGGAAATTCAGACGGATGCAGACGAGAGCGTAACCGAAGCCCGCAGCGGTCCGACACTTTATTTCATTTCCGTGAGAGGTCTAATAGAAAGTCTTGCCAGAGGTGCGGGTACTCTGAGCACATATTCCTCGCCTTATTACCATTCCGACGATGCTCGCTTCTCCTCGGATGTACCGCTTGCGTCTCACATCACGAACTGAGGTGAGTGGTCGCACCGTTTCCCCGGCCGATCAGGAGCGATATTGTACGCAATGTACATAATCACCTACATTCGTCGCTTTCGGGAAGTTTCCTCTTTTTCCGCAGTTTCACTCCGACTGAACTCTTTACACGAAGATTATAGTCATGCGGGAAGAACTTTCTCGGAGACGGGTCGCACGGAATCGCGATGCGACCCGATTCCTATCGCTTTCATCGAGAGACAGAGGATTTTTCAGTACCTGCTCCCGCAACTCCCTGCGGCGGAGAGGGAGCCGAGATCCGGGATGGATTAAAGAGTGATTTCGCAGAATTTCCGAACTCAGCAGACATCTCCCTCCCACGGAGAATATTTATTCCGAAATTGAGTAGGTGATTGAAATCCCGTTGAGGTGTAGAAACATATCAATAGAGACCTCCATCTTGTCCGATTTTCTCCTTGCGCCTGGCGACCGCTTCTTGAGACGCTTCTTTCAGGTCGTAGGTGAGTCCAACGTAAGAGAGCAGTCTTATGAGTGAGGACGATGTATCGAAAATGGTGAACGGAAACTCGGAGGACTTATAATCGAATGGGAAAACATGGTGGTAGTTGTGAAAACATTCACCGATCAGATGCCATTTTATAACGGGATTGTCGCACGCTTTGATGTTCTTGTCGTAAGGTCGGTCCCCGAACCAATGCGCCAGGCTGTTTATGCACCAAGTGTTGTGCAATTGGAATGTGTATCGAGTCAAGGAAGTCCCAACAGCGAAGAGCAACGGGACGTCGAAACACCTATATATTATCCATGAGGGGACGATGACTACACCCAAGAAATACAAGGGGATGTAGAAACGCCGCTGGAAACGTATGACGGGATCCCCAAGAAGGTCGCTACAATCTAAGCTTTTGCCTTTTTCTATGACGGCATCGTGTTTTTTCAGCATCAGCCAGCCCATGTGGGCGAAAAACATCCCTCTAGTCGTCGAGTGCGGGTCGGCATCGGTGTCCGTATACTTATGATGGAGTCTGCAAGCGGAGAGCGATAATAATAAAATGAGCTCCGGAAGAAGTTTCTCCTCCGTTTCCGTCATATCGGTGGCCACGGAATGCGTTACCTGTGATCTCTACACCAGACGAAGAGGTCGTTCTGCCCGGCCATGCAATTGAGTAACATGAGAACTATACGCAAGGGCAGTCTGGCTTTGAAACATCTGTGCGACCAAAGTCTATGAGCCCCTATGCTCACGGAATATGCCGAGAGACACGCGGTCAGGTACCAGACGCAGAAGATTTTCCAACTCCAGAGGTGAGCACATCCGAAGACCGTGTACAAAGCGGCACAGTGGAGGAATATGAAAAAGAAAACATTCGGCCAAACGATACGAGTCCTGAAGTACCCGCTCCTTTTCGAGTAGTCTATGCTCGGCGTCGGCTTCGTAGAGCACATGGTGGGCCGGTCACATGAACTTTGGACTTCGAATGCTGAATCGCTATCTTCTGCACTTTCGCTTATCACTTGCAGCAGAGCTTGGAGCGAATCTTCGGCTCTTGGAAGTCTGATTTTGCTTCCCACTGGGCCTCGGAACGAATGATTCCCGGGGCGTCTCGGAGTGTTTCCTGTGCCCGGTCAATAGAACGATCACTGGTCGATCCTTCACAACCTGTCTAGTGGGAGCCTCGCAGGCCGGCGTGTCCTAGGTGCTCTCATCATCACGGTGCTCTCATCTAATTGGACAATGTGATCGATTGCGCGCGGGAATCACCGAATCCGGAGCAGTCGACGAGATTTTCATATTATCCTTCACAGAAATCAAGTTTCAGGTCTGAAGCGACAAAGTTTCATCCTATAATTTCCCGTGTGTTGACTCATTTATCCCTGGGCTCAATCGAACGCATGGAATCCTGAGTTGATTCTGAACCCGGTTTTTTCGCGACCGACGTCGCCACAGAGGGGCAGAACGCGAAAATAGATGGAAAAATATTTTGCCGTTTTTTCAAATCATCCAAGCTCTCCGATAAGGGGGTGATGATTGGAATACGACTTCAGTCTCATCTGCACAAATATATAGATTTTTTATTTTTATTTTATTTATTTTTTTTTTAGTTTATTCGCCCACGCCGAAACCTAGCTGCTTAAGGCGACCCGATCCCCTCCTCCCTATATAATAAAGCAGCTATCCCCGTCCGTCAGTACGCTCTACTGCTAGCGTCCTCGATTCGATGTCGAGGATTTAACGATTCCGACCGATGAAGACGCTCATCGACCGTAGTCGCCGACAGTTTGCTTCCGTTTCGATGCGCCGTTCTTCGGGAAACTTCGAAAAACCGATACATCGTCCTCTCATTGGCTGCGAACGAGATTGGCTTCTGACTCATGATCAGGAGCGAGCTTGCTCGAAAACGATTTGCGATGCTCCCCACAGGTTCACACTTAGCAGGGGTGATTTATTTTCCCGGAGAACGATGCAAACACTTCCACATATCATCTCGCTGTCAGAGTAGAAGTACTGATGAGCTGCTCGTGAAGTTAGTTCTCGCATACGTCATGCCGAAATCGAGAAAGATCTCTCGTGGTAATCAGCGCCGGCGACAGCTAGAAAGCGACAGAATTCGGAGATATAGAGAAAACAGCTCAGCCGAAGAAGCACAAGCCGCTTGAGAAGCTAATGTTTCCCAACAGCGACGAACTCGAGCTGATCCAACGGCAACACAGATCCCAGAAGTATATCACTCCGAAGTCATGCGCCAAAGTCTCTCACATAGAGACTCCTGTAGATACAGCAATATAAGGATTGGCGCGGAGCGCCCCCACGGCTGGTATTCGATAAAACTAAAAATCCATGAAGCCGATGGAACTTCTTGAATGAGATCCGGTTCTCAAGTCTCTCATCAGATCGGACCAGGTTCTGCTACGGAGTCGGACAAATCGGAGGAAAGTGAATCACAAATTACAACTTGGATCTCCTCCACCTGATTCAGACGCTTCTTTCGCCTACAACGCTGCCACCCTAGGATCCAGATCTTTGAGTCGTCGTTGTATTGTTTCACGGTAGCTGGCCACCAGAGGGTCGGAGGGAACCATCAACATGGCCAGTATGGTTCCAGGTATTTCAGACTCCGTATTGTCGAGTCTGAAATGCCGGATTTCCTTGTGTCGTGCTTCTTGAGGTTCCTCCGTCAATGACCCGATGGGGACTGCGTGATGCCGCACAATGTCAGCGCCATGGTCGAGAATTTTGTGGACCGTAGGTGTCATTGGGAACCATCGGTGAAGTTTGGTCAGACGGTTTTTCGTTTGCGAAGCGAAGGCTCAAAACTTGTCAGCGTCGATGTGACATCTGGGGGTCGCTGTGAGCCTTCCTCCAATTGCTTCACTGTAGACTGACAATTTCAGGGTGCGGCAGTATAAATTCCCCATTTTGAATGATCTCCATGAAATCTGAACCAAGGCGGCTAGCGGAATCCTGCTTGCAGTAGAATGACCACGAGGACTTGCAGTTTCAGAAAAAAAATCGTATGGTCCGAGACTCCTCACCAGGTGGACGTTCAAAGTTGGCGTTTTGAAGTTCAGCTAACGTCATTCTCATAAAGCTCGGTATTGATTTCTGTGGGAAAACCCATTTGCTTTCCCGCTGATTCTTGTTCTCCAGCTTGGAGATATCGGACCGAAGGAATTTTTTTTTTCTGAGAGGGCGAGTCCTCCCAAACATTCTGCCGCAAACAGAACTTCGTTAGCCCTCATGGTTCGGATTCCATGAGCAAAACAAAATTGGGAGAATATACTGCCCCACCTTGTACATATAACAAGTCTGAGTCGATCTTGCGCAGTCAAAGCGTTGACTTTTTTGCCATCTATATATGTACCATTGTCAGCACGAACTTGTGGTTCACGGAAATATTGACGCCTCGGATCGAAAAGCCTGTTGGGACAAGCGTCCTTATCTGCGACTCTATTATCTGAGTTTTTTTTGAGGGCTCATCATCTGGGTCTTTATTGAAATAATTTCCAGACTCTAATTCATTCCACTATGGCTACCACGATATTCTACAGTTGTAGCTCTAGGTGTGGCCCCTGGTAGGTGGCCATGGTACCCATGACGGCCGCAGCATTGCCCCTCTGGACATTATCTGAGTTTCATGCAAGATAGCCTCATTCGATTCCTTCGTGAAGATTAGTTTCATCGGACGGCAATATTGGGGACAACCGGGTACCGGATTATACTACAGCAATCCTGGTTGCCGGAAACCCCTAGCTCCAGAGGGACGAAAGAATAGACTCTTGGTCTGACATAGACGTCTACAAGTGAGATCTAAAATTGCTTGCAGAGCACCATCCTGTTTTCAGTTATCAGAACGCTCTCTATCGATGAACAACGAGCGTTTTTCGCAATCTGAATCTCTTTGTAGGATGGAAAGAGATTTTGGCCGAGGCGCCTCGACGTCTCCCGGAGCAGAGAGTATGAGGATCGGGTCAATCTGCAGTACATATATAGAGCAAGAGCTTCTTCCGGCGAGAACGGTCGTGAATTGCAGGTTACCGTCTCTCGAGAAGTCGATGGAGCCTCACGGTTTTCCCCAGATATTCGTGCCAAGGCTTGTGACCTCAAACGATCGCCAGAAGAATGTAAGGTCAGTTTGGCAGCGAAAATCAGCGGATTGGCTGACGCATCCAGGAGGGGACCCAATTCTGCTTTCTTGGCTCTGGGCCCGCGGTCTGCAAGAGGTTTCACAGGGCGACCAACCCTTGGAGTCGGCGGGATGGACTCGAGGCGGGCCGTATGAACCAGGAGTATGATGGGAACCTGACCGAGCCACTTGGCGTCCTCCTCCTGAAAAGTTGTACGACTTCTACAACTCCCGTTGTATCTCCGGCGAAAGATGGATGCGTGTTTACTCAAAGATCGTCTTAGTGATCGGGAGTCCGCTATCAAACCGCTCTCGAGGCTCACTCGGGCCAACAATACCTTGTCGAGGAGATCTTAGTTACTTCCATTCTCGCAAGCCAGCCAATCTGAATCGGGAAAAGGAGAGATCGGAGAGCATGTGAAAGTTGACAGATATTCCGTAGTATGACAAGTCTTCATGAAATTCACTAGGTATCTCAAAGATCTTATATTGTCCCCGGATGGTGCATTGAACGTTCATCTCGACTCAATCAAGCTCACTGGTAAATTCTTTTTCCATATCGATAGCTGATCTTGTTTTTTCCGCGAAGCACTCCAACGACCTTTTCAACGTCTGGGATCGGGTGGTGTTTAGAGGGCTACTTCAGCTGTTCGTTACGCACTCGTGGATCAAAATATAGACGAGATTGATGTGCCTCCCGATTTCGAGGATTCGATAAGGATGTTAGTCACCCAAATAGCGGAATCGCTCACTTGAATTTTTTTCCTCCTATTTTCGCATTCTGCCCCCCTGCGGCGTCGGTTTTCTCTCCGCCAGTCTCAGGTGCGGCACTCGCACCTGAAACTCATCTCATCTGCCCGAAAGCGTGAGGTTTCTGGCAGGGGTTCCCTAAGGGGCATGAGAGGCTCCCGAGATGAAGTTTGAAAATGGATATATTTGATGGTCGTCGGCGAAAGAGTCGCTGAGCCCGGCGCCAAGGCGCGTGCCGTTTGCTTGGATACCATGGGTTTCGGTTTTGTCGTCAGCTCTGACGCTTTCCCTGATCTACGGATTAGTGAGGGTCCGATGCCATCGTTTGAGGCAGGATCCATGAGCATGGAGTCATTATTAGGGCTGGAGATTTTTCGCGGGAAAAAAATGCGAAATTCGCGGGCTATTCGCGGCGAATGAGGGTGGAAATCTCGGTAAGCGCAAAATTCGATCGAGAGTCGCGGAACTCGCTTAATTTCATTGAAATTCGCGGAAGGTAGGTGTGCCTTCGATCAATCTCGAATTTTTCGAGTCCGTCCGAGAGAGGTCTGTGACCATCTGAAATAGGAGCCTATTCGACTCCGACTGCTTCTTCGGAGTCAAGGGAACAGTCAAGTTGTTGTTTTCACTGCCCTTTCACGGTGGAAGGTAGTGATTGGATGATCATATTCCTGTCTTCGGGAGTAACCGAATTTGCGAGAATCGCCAGGAAGAGACGAAAATCGCGGTTTCCGCGAATTCCGCGATCAGCGCGGAAAATCTCCAGCCCTAGTCATTCTGAATGCGCTGATGGACGAGGAAAGTTCAAATCGGCTCAAGATATTTGACGTGCGATATCGCAACCAATAAGCCTGACCACGCCCAGAGCCCACAAGATATCGCGGGAACTCCATTCGCCCTTCGGATGGAAAACAAAGGCACTCTGAAACCATGGTGGGCCCTCCACTTGAACTCCCATTGTCCAGCTCATTGGAGGCTCAGTGACTAAGAATTCCAGCGAGGTGGCAGAGGAAGTCTCCAGCACAACGATGAAGGGATCAATGAGTGATCAGATGCGGAAATTCTGGTAGATAGCTCGGTTCCCCGCGAGCGTCGGAGAAGGGTCCGACTCGTTCTGCTGCGAATCTCGTACATGGTTAGTCGCAGCAGTGATCCTCGACGTTTCCACGACTGCAGCGAAGACAAGCCCCTAAAAACCAATCTCGCTCTGGCGTTCGCGCCAAACAAACCGGATAAGCTGGGTTATCCCGCCGTTTCGAAATGAAATCGTTTGAATCACGGTCAGGTCAATCGGCATCTTCGCTTGTCGATGCTCCTGATTCCAATCGAGATGAAAGGTGTCCGCATGCAACGCCTTTCGAAGCCTCGAAAGAGAAATCCTATCCTAGTATCCCTTTATCTAAATCTCAACTCCTACTAGGGACCAATCATTGCGACTGATCGATCCAAGGTCGAATGCGCGCGGCCAGGACAGAATTGAATACCTAGTGTGATAGTTCCTGATGCAGCAATTACGCTGCTAGGCTTTGGAGGGTGCATACGCCCGTTCGGAAGCGTTCCTCATCTCCCTCAGCCTGGGACTGGCAGGTCTCCGGTTGCAAAATGTTTCAACGAGCTCGGAAGTCTCGAAGCGTTTCATTGGCAGGATCGTGCACTTCCGAAAAGCACCAGCGGAGGTCAGCTTCGCCCTCCCGGCAGTTTTCGGCGCACTTCCATTTGTGTAAAACAGGCTGAATCCTCCCCGACTTTGAGCCCAGAGCCCATC